GCGGTTTTCAGGTGGCTTTGGCATCACACCGGGACTTGCTTTTGCTGCCTCTGCTGTGGCACCCGTCAGGAGCCAGGAGATGGGGCAGGATGGCTTTGGAGAGCTCCGCTGGGGTCCAGGGTGCTCCCGAATGCAGCATCTTCAAGGGCAACACCAAAGGGCTGTGAAACCAGGCAGGGAACCCAAACCAGCGTAAATCAGCCTCCCAAAACATCATCACTTATCGCAGCCTCATCAGGCCCCAGTCTTGCTCTCCACAGAGTCTGGGAAGGAGTGTGGGTGATGGTGCCCTTGGCTTTGGGTCCCAACCTCCCCTAAAGCCCAGCCGTGCCTCCCTTCTCCAGCCGGAGAATGCAAACCATCCCTAATGAAGCAACTCAGCAACTGGGCTGCGGCAAGGAGGGCTTTCCACACGATGCCGAGCATTTTCTCAGCATCCTGCAAGGAGGAAAGGACCTCCCTGTGCCCTCGCAGCGAGAGGAGACCTGGGAAGGGAGCGTGATGGATGAGAGAGACGCAAGGGAATAAAAACCCCAGAAAATCAATCCCTCCTGCTCAGAAACGTGCTGCTGCCACCTCCCCAGTCCTCTGACTCCATCTCTGTATGCAATTGTGCGGATCAGAAGCATAAAGCATTAGACAGGTCTATCCATGGGGCATGGCTATTGGGCTGGCTGGGATGCCGGGAAGGGGCTGCCAGGGCTGGGCCAGGTGTTTGGGGACATGCCAGATGTCATGCCCAGGACTCGAAGGGGCTGGATGGCAGGAGGAGCAGGGACGGAGCCACCGGCATCACCTCGGCAAACCCCTCCCTGCTCATCCAGCGCCGGCTGCTCCGGATTAATCATTCAGAGCAGGAAAATCTCATTGAGGCTTAAACGCATCAAAGTGGCCAGCGAGGAGCAAAGCACAGGGAAATCCTTTCGCAGATGGCTGCTCTGATAGCCAGTGGCTACCTCCACCAGCCCCCTGCCCGCCTCGGCTCGCTGGGGCCATGGGGCAGTCCCCCACATCTGAAGGAGTCAAATAGGGATTATCAGGGCTCTCCCTTGGCGACTGGGAAGCAGAGGCTAAGCGCCTGGGGGGGTGCTTGGTGCCATGGGGTGTCTGGGGGGCATCTCCTGTGGGATGCAGGGGATGTGGCTCATCCTGGGGTTGGGGATCTATGGGCCTGGGGCTCTGCTGGCTGCGAGGACAGCACAGAGCCTGCTCCCAGTGGAGGGCTCCGGTGTTTTCTTAGGAGGCGTGGAGGGTTCGTGCAGGAGTTTCCTCCACCGCCAAGTGTTTGTTTAACCAAAATGGACCCTGCTCATGCTGGGGCGTCATTTTTCATGTGGGTCCCTGCTAGGGTGTAAGCAATACCCACTCCTGTAGGAAAGGAGGAACTGAGGCCCCTTCGGGCTGCATCCAGGGGGCTTTTCTGAGCCAAACTGAGAGAGGAAAGCTCAGCTTCAAAGGGAAGAGGCCTGCAGAGATGCCTGCATAGCTGGGGAGCTCAGCCAGCTCTGACCGCAACATCTCCCCTGGGAAGAAAAGGACTTCTGGGGATGTGCAGGATGCCAGCCAGGAGGATCAGCCCGGCCCTGCAACAGGAGTCCTTTTCACCCATCCCTGGGTACACAAAGATAAGTTGTGCTGGTTGGAAATGGGGTTCGAGAGGGGTTCAATGGGGTTCGGAACCCTCAGAGCAGTGCAAGGGACAGGTTGAGATTCAGCCCTCCCGTCCTCGCCCGGGCAGCAGGCAGGGACCGCAGCAAACACAGCTGTGATTTGACAGCGACCCAGACAAAAGTTGGCAAAGATGCACCACTTAATCAAGGCAGACAAATGCGATTGCTCCCTTTGATTGAGTTACTGAGTTAACAGATGACAGGGACACAAGAGAGAGATTTCTAGATGCTGCTAAAACCATTTGACACTGCATCTCAGGAAGTCCGACTTAAAAAATTCCTCCTAATTGGGTCTCAATCCTGTCACAAGGATGGAAACCCGAAGGAAGGGCCATGCCAGCGAGGGAACAAGGGGTGCCACGATGGGGGGAAGGGTCTAGACAGGAGCTGCCTTAGGCCTGATCTTACTTAACATCTTAATTGATGATCTGGAAGAAGGAAGTAAACAGCACGCTAATTCAATTCCTGTAGGAAACTGAATTGGGAGGCAGGGCACACAGCAGGCAGGGCAGAGACTGAAGGCCACGGGGAGGTCAGACGTGGGGGCAGTGATGGGATGGAACTGAGGTCAGGCTTGCTGGGGAGGGGACACAGAGGGACAGCAGGACCTGACACCCTGCAGGGCAGTGCTGCCTCCCAGCCCTGTCCCTGCGGAGATGATGGGATGTTGCACACAGCCTGCGTGGTGTCGTGAGCCCATCCCGTGCTGGGGCACCTTACCTGGGGCACAGATTCCTGCTCTGGCTTCTCCGGCTCCCACATGAGCGTCAGCTCCGGCTTCCTCCCCACCTTCTGGAAGTGGAAGCCCAGCAAGGGCAGTGCCTGCAGGCAGAGACAGTGTTGGGACAGTCCATGGCCCTGACAACATCCCCCTACTCAGCTCTCCCCCTCCGTTTTGTCTGTGGATGGGGACGACGCTGCTTTGGCCCCGCAATCTGCTTCTGCAGCTCTTTACCAACTGGGATGCAGCAGTCTGTGAGCATGAGCCCAGCACGTAAATCAGGGGTTGCTGCGATACACAAACAGCCCGTATATCACACTATATGTCCTGTTTAAAGATGTCATTGCCAGCCATATAACCAGGTTATTAAGAGAAGATGCTGTCACCAACCGCAGGTGCTGGCCTACAGTGGTGCTGTCACAGCCCCAGATATACCACCTGGTCAAATGAAACCTCTCTCTCTTTCCTCGTTTCAGACCCATGTTGCTCTCTGTCCCCCTAAATGTGCCTTCATTCCCTTTTAACTGGACTAAATCACCCCATACATAGCAGGGAGAAGCTGGTTCTCAAAGACTGGGCTGCTCCAGACCCCCGGGGGATGACGGACGGAGGGGACACCCCAGGAAGGCTCCCCCTCCTCTGGCTACCCCGGTTGGCACTATCAGTGTGAGGTACTTACATTGCAGTAGATGCGCTTCTGGACTCCAAACCTCAGCACCAGGACATCAAAGGCCTCGTTGAGGACGCCCATCACCATAGCCTCTGACTCCAGAGGACCACACTCCTGCCAACAGAGACAGGGTTGTCACTACACCAGTATCCCCCATCCCACCACCCCCAAGGGGAACCAGCATCTCCAGGCCTGGAGCTCTGGGTGATGGTGGTCACTCAGTGTGTCCCCGGTTGTCACCCAGTGTTCCCCCTCGCTGGTTGCTCTCCCTCAGGCCAGCCGTGCAGCTTAGACGCTCGGAGGGAAGGTTGTCTTGGCTCTTACCCTGACGAAGATGCCGAAGAAGAGGTCAGCACTGAGCTCCTGCACCCTCTTGGAAGCCATCTTCCGGTCGTTGCAGTGATCTGCCTGTTTCTGGATGGCCTCTTTCTCCATCCTGATGGGAGGGCTGGCACCTGGGAAGGGGACGGGTGACAATGATGTGGCCATGCTTGTCCTTCTCCAGAACCATGCCATGGCACCCTGCACCCAGACACCCAGCTCACCCCCATGTCCCTGTTAATTTTGGGTATCCACATGCCAGGGACCTGCCCCATGGGATGCAGAATCCAAGCACCCAGCACCCACGGCAGGGAGGGCAGGAACCTGGGAGTCCCCTCCAGTGCCAGGCACAGCCCCCCCCATCCCCTTGCAGTACCCAAAGCTGCCCCACGAGCACCCACCAAGTGAGGCGGAGAGGAGACGGTGCACGATGACGTCCGCGTAGCGGCGGATGGGTGAGGTGAAGTGTGTGTAGAAGGGCACGTTCAGGGCGTAGTGGCGGAAGAGGGTCTCATCCTCCAGGACACCGGTGCAGAAGTAGAGAGCCATCTGCAAGGGTGAGAGGAGAGGGAATGGTGTGAGAAAGGACGGCAGCAGGAGCCTGTGGGTGGACAGGTCTGTGTCTGCAGGACAAAGCTCCTTCACCTGATGCTCAGTTTGGGCCACCCTGACTGGCTGCAAGGATTGCACTAATTTTCACATCACACATGGGTTTAAGCAGCCAACTGCTAATTACTCAGGCCTTGGAGCTCATTTGCCATCCCCTCTTCTAGAGGAGAGCCCACCCTGTCCTGTGCCCACCACAGGTGCTCTGGGTCTGGCTGCAGGCTCTGCACACCCATTGCGCCTGCTTGGGGAGCACTGGGGGCTCCGGTTCACCGAGGAGGAGGAGGAGGAGGAGGAGGAGGAGACAGCCCCGCTGTG